TGTGTGTGTGGATGTTTCCCAGAGATGGGTTGCGGCTGGAAGGGCATCCACTGCGTAAAAACGTGCTGGATAAGTTGGCGGTTCATTCCGCTGTGGCGACCCCGGATTAATAAAGGGACTAAGCCGACAAGAAAATTGAATGAATGAATGAAGTAGCCTGATCCAGGGCAGATTAACTCTCAGGCTAAGTTCAAGCTTAATCAAGGTAATATTAACATTCACCTGCTGTAATATGAAGTCATTTTAATTCACGTAACCTCTGAATAATAATGAAACTTTTATAGTCACTTAATAGTGAAAAAAAAATATATATATATATATATGTGTGTGTGTGTGTGTGTGTTTTCAATAGTCTCCAGAACAAACCATCATTATACAATAACTTGCCTAAAATATATATATATACACACACACACCCCAAACATCTTTAAGAACAGAATGACATATACATTTAACTGCAAATAAGTTATTGCAAACAAAAAAATACAAACTACAACATTTCTCTACATTTCTGTATTTTGAATGTTTCTGTTGATTGATTTTCTCTCCTGTTTATTCAGAAGTGTGCTTTATATTTTCCCCAACAGGTTGATTTGGGTGTTCTGGTTTTTTCACTGTTTATTTTTTGTCAGATTAGCTCCACATTTGCTTCAGTACTGAATAATCTGATGTACTGTATGTGCACATAGATATTACTGTAAAGCGTTCTCTAGAAAATCTGCATTTACAACGTTGATCTGCAAGGGGTGTAGCTAATATGTTTATATGAATGACAAATATTTAACAAGGAAAATAATATAAGAAAAGCACCGACTAATATAAGGAAGTAAACTACAGTTCTTAAAGAATAACGATAAAGCTGTAAACCCTGAGCAGATAATCAGGAGATGATTAGCAGCCGCCTCACATTAATATAAAGATCCTTTTATTGCCAGCTGTGCTGTAGTTTTTGATTATTATGTTTAATTTATTATGTTTGAACTCTAAAAAACAAGACGCTCACTTCTGTTGGCCTCAATCTGGCAACCTGCGCTTGCATGTGTTTTGATCCAGGAGTGCAATACCTAGCTCAACCACCGGGTGTCAAACTCACACACTGCACCTCTAATGAAACAGGCTGGTGTCTGCCACACGGCACGTGTGAAATATTAATAATGACAGATGTTTTGACTGCAGCTGTACAATGAACAGCAAAATTCACCTGCATCTGTGCTGATAATCTGATTATGTGTGAACAGCAGGATTCAGCACAGAGATATCTCAATATAGACGCTTCACTATAACAAGAGCAGCTTAAGGAAACCGCATTCCTAACAGGTGTGTGTGTGCGTGTGTGTGTGTGTGTGCGCGTGTGTGTGTGTGTGCGCGTGTGCGTGTGTGTGTGTGCAGGTATCCTGTGTGTGGCGGATCAGTGTCACGGTCTGCGTGAGTTAGCGCTGAACTATCACCTGCTGAGCGATGATCTTCTGCTAGCGCTGTCGTCGGAGCGTCACGTTCACCTGGAGCACCTGCGCATCGACGTGGTGAGCGAGAACCCGGGCCAGCACTTCCACTCCATCAAGAAGAGCAGCTGGGACGCCATGGTGCGCCACTCGCCCAAGTTCAGCCTGGTGATGTACTTCTTCCTGTACGAGGACGAGTTCGGGCCCTTCTTCCAGCACGAGGTGCCGGTGACGCACCTGTACTTCGGCCGCTCCGTCAGTAAGGAGGTGCTGGGGCGCGTGGGGCTGACGTGCCCGCGGCTGGTGGAGCTGGTGGTGTGCGCTAACGGGCTGCGGCCGCTGGACGAGGAGCTGATCCGGATGGCGGAGCGCTGCCGTCAGCTGTCGGCCGTGGGGCTGGGCGAGTGCGAGGTGTCCTGCAGCGCCTTCGTGGAGTTCGTGAAGATGTGCGGCCGTCGCCTCTCGCAGCTCTCCATCATGGAGGAGGTGCTGGTGCCCGACAGCAGGTACGGCCTGGACGACATACACTGGGAGGTGTCCAAACACCTGGGCCGGGTCTGGTTCCCTGACATGATGCCCACCTGGTAGAACCGCAGTCTGGAGCTTCAGCACACACTGAAGGAAGCTGTGTGTGTGTGTGTGTGTGTGTGTGTGTGTGTGTGTGTGTGTGTGTGTGTGTGTGTGAGGGCTTGCGTGTGCATGATTGAGTGTGTGCAGACAGTTTATGCACTTCATTAGTTATCCAGCAATATATCTCACACACACACACACACACCAGGGCTCAAGAGTAAGGACTGCCCGGGGCCCGGGAGAACCGCTTGGGACAGTAGACGGGATCATTACTGGCCTGATTGAGAACACCTTTTGTTAAATAATTTATTTATTTTTGTTCAGATCTTTTTATTAACATTTTGGTCAGTAAAACATCAATTTTAAAATGTTTGAAAATCAGAGATAAATGATCTTTGCTCCAACAGAGCCCCCCTCCCCCACTGCACCATTCTACACAGCATGTTATGGCCATTACTGATCTGTTTTACATCATGTCATGATACACA